CTGCTGAGCTCCAGTTCATTTGCAAATTTGACACCATCAGATCAGGACTGTGAATGGCTATCCAACTACAGAAGCAGTTTCTCCTCCCTTGGTGTTCACAGCTCAACTGCTAGCAGAGCACCTCACCCTCCCTGATTGAACTAACCTCGTTATCTCCATACTGATTTATACCTGCCTCTGGAAATTTCCATTACTTGCATCTGAAGAAGTGAGGTTCTTACCCACGAAAGCTTATGCTCCCAATACTTCCGTTAGTCTTAAAGGTGCCACAGGACCCTCTGTTGCTTTTTACAGATTCAGACTAACATGGCTACCCCTCTGATACTTGACACTTCTGAAAGGTTGCTGACCCCTGGTTTATTACAACAATCTGTAATGCACTGACACCACTCTTTTTGTCATATGACTGCAGAGGTGTTAATGGGTCACTTCACCTTGAATGGTCCCTTAGAACAGGTGCTAACTACTGATGCTAAACAATCTGTTCCGCCTTGCATTTAGGTGTGATGTTCAGAGTACCTTTCCCTGACCTGAAGAAGAGCTCTGTGTGGCTCAAAAGCTTGTCTCTCTCACCAACAGAAGTCGGTCCAATAAAAGATATTACCTCATCCAACTTGTCTTTCTTACACTTCCTGTCAGGGCTGTCACTAATTGTTGCATTAAATCATTATTATGGTTTGGTTTCATTTTTCCAGTTCACTTCCTTTTTAGAAACTGGATGTTAATCACATATCCAAATCCACACACTGGCCTCTACTATAATAGGTTCCTAACGTCCTGTTTCCATGCTGCCACATGGAGGCCCTTGGGGTGCTTACAAGCTAAGTAAAACAATGCGCACTGCACAGCTGGGTCTGATGGCTTTCAAGCCATTAGCTCTTGTTGCCCGACCAGAGTTATTCAGAGATGGCAAGTGTGCTGTTCATTATCAAGGAAGTTTGAAGCTTTCAGTAGAAAGATATTATTGAGTTTCCAACTGCAAGGGTCTGGAGACCTTTTTGTTTTTTTTTTTTTTTTAAAGCAAGTAAACACTTTTTACATTGAGACCTCAGTGATCAAACAAATTCCTATCCAACTTCCTTCAATACTTCACTGCTATGTTGAAAATAAGCATGAGGAATTCCAGTCCACTTGGAAATCTGACAGTCTAAAGGTAATGGGCATATAGCAAAGGCCCATCTCAGTTGTAACAATGGTGCTGCTAAACCAGTGCTGTAACATATTGTAATTGTCCATCCTTTTCATTATAGGAAGCCATCCTGGGTCTGACTGATAGATGCCGTTTTTTCATAAACGATGTGGAGGTACCAAAGTTTGTTTTGATGCGGTTTCACTTGTCTGTGTGTGATTATTAGATTTCATCTGCTGCTGCTTGTGCTCATCGATTTCATTGGATTCACTTTCCACAGGTGGCTTCCAACGTTACCTCATTTGCCAGATATGATGAGTTTCTGCTGGTGACCACCCACTCCCACACCTGCCAGTGTGTATCTTTGAGGGACACATCGTTGAAAGGTAAACGTTCAGATATGGCCTTTGGTATGTAATAGGCCTTACTGTTTGCTTCCTGGGCCCTTTGCCCTCATGATGGAACCTAGACAAGCTCGCTTCCAAGGCCCCATGTCATGGCCATGGTGCCACTTCTTGATTGTCCAGAGTGGCTGCTCCTGATCGATGCCAGTGAGTTCCCTATATCCTCTCATGGGCTCTTCATCCACTTCTGGGAGCTCCCTCTCTCACTTCCCAGCTCTCCCTAGCACAGGGAGGAGTAGCTTACTCTCCACAAACCATCGTTGATCTGTGATACAACAGGAGTGACCAAAGGACACTTGAAATCACTGTGGCTTGGCCTGCAGAGAGAGGGGGAGCAGCTGGGGGCAAGACTGGGCATGCAGGCCACCTGCCTGTCTGGCCCCCAGGAGGAGAAGCAGATGGGGACAGGACTGGCTGTGTGGGCAAGCTGCCTGCCTGCCCCCCAGGAGGAGAAGCGGCTGGGGACAGGACTGGCTGTGCAGGGTGCCCCCAGGAGGAGAAGCAGCTGGGGACAGACTGGCAGTTAGTTGGTGGGAGCCACCTCTTGTCCTCTTTGACAGGCTTTGCATTCACCTCCTAGAACAAGGGTGAGTGCTCCTGGTGGGGGACAGGTAGGATGGAAGGGATGCCGGGTGAACCATGCTGGGCAGCATCTGACTGGCACTTGGACATGGGAAGCTTGGGGGTGTCATGGAGGGGCAAAAGGATGAGGAGGAATGGCAATGTACATGTTCTGTGCTTCTGGCAGCTGCTTGTGTGTGTGTGTATCTGCCTGGTGTCTAGACTCAGCTCCTCAGGCAGTGGCTGTCTCCTCTAGTCTGTGTGTGATGGTGCTTGGCACAATGGGACTCTGAACCTGACTGATACCTTGGGGCGTTACTAGAACGTTGCTAACAATGGGTGGGTTCCCAGCAGAAACTCAGCAGACACCCTGTGGCTGGACTGGGGAAGTTGCGCTGTATGTAGGGACTTATCATACCCTTGCTGATACCTCTGCCATTCTCAGTTCTGCAGGCAGGCTTCAGCAGCTCCTCTACTCCCAAAGAGACACTACGCAAGATGGAGCGGGGCTCCCGCATCGTCACCGTTGTACCCCAGGACACCAAGCTCATCCTGCAGGTCAGCTCTCATGGTATTGCTGCAGCACCATGTGTTAGCCCACGCTAGGGAAGCCCCACCGTAACGCAGCACCCAGCGGTTTGGAGAGGGTAGTAGCTAGCTGAGCTATATATTGTCAAGTACCGTGTAACAGCTGCTCTTGCTTTCCAGGCTATGGGATCACCACTCACAAACCTGCTGAACTGTAGATCCTGATCCTACTGGATCCTAATTATTACAGCTCATGCTGCCTCTCTGGGAGCCCCTGGCAGGAGAGGGATTTTCAAATAAATAAGTCTTCAGTGGCTGCTCTTGGTGATACTGAAGCACCACAGTAAATCACAGGGTCAGAGGGTGATCTCTTGGTGCTTATTGTCTGTAGTAAAGGCCCTGCTTCAGGAGGGCTGAACATCCACACTTAGGGCCAGATTTTCACCCACTGAGGATGGTGAATTTCCCCCCTCCTCCCCCCAAACCTCTGCCATTCTGCTGAGCACTTTTGAACTCCAGCCCCATGTGAATGGGAGGTAGATGGCCTCTTGGCTTCATTTGCATGAAAATGAAACTGTCGTGTGTGCTTCATGCTCTCGCCCTGCCCACCTGCTTTGATACCATCTGTTGTGTGTGTTTCAAGCGCACTTGCCCCCACCCACTTGCTTTGATACCCTCTATCGTGTGTGCTTCATATGCTCTTGCCCCTGCCCACCTGTTTTGATACTTCAAAAAGGGGAAGTACACAAAAATTAGGAGGCTAGTTAAACGGAAATTAAAAGGAACAGTCACGAGTGAAATGCCTGCAAACTGCATGGAAACTTTTTTTAAAAAAAAACACCATAATAGAGGTTCAAACTATATGTATACCCCAAATAAAGAAGTGTCAAGGACCAAAAAAGCTGCCATGGCTAAACTGGGTAAATGCAGTGGTTAGAGACAAAAAGGCATCTTTCAAAAATTGGAAGGCAAATCCTACTGAGGAAAATAGAAAGGAGCATAAACTCTGGCAAGTCAAGTGTAAAAGTATAATTAGGTAGGCCACAAAAGAATTCAAAGAACAACTTGCAAAAGACACAAAATCTAATAGGAATTTTTTTTTAAGTACATCAAAAGCAGGAAGCCTGCCAATCAATCAGCTAGGGCCACTGGCTGATAAAGATGCTAAAGGAGCACTCAAGGAAGCCAAAAGACAAAATGAATTCTTTGCATCCATCTTCACTGCAGAAAATTCAAGGAACAGTCTCACACCTGAGCCATTCTTCTTAGGTGTCAAATCTGAGGAACTTTTTCAGATTGAGGTGTCAGTAGAGAAGGTTTTGGAACAAATGGATAAAAAGTAATATTCACCCAAGAGTTCTGAAGGAACTCAAATATAAAATTGCAGAACTACTAAGTGTGATATGTAACCTGTTGCTTAAATCGGCTTCTGTACCGGATGACTGGAGGATAGCTAATGTCACACAGATTTTTAAAAGAAGCTCCAGTGGCAATACTAGCAATTACAGGACGGTAGGCCTAACTTCGGTATTGGGCAATTACTTGAAACTATAGTAAAGAATGGAATTATCAGACCCATAGATGAACACAGTATGTTGTGGAAGAGTCAAAGCTGCTTTTGTAAAGGGAAATTATGCCTCACCTATGTATTAGAATTCTTTGAGAAGGTTAACAAATGTGGACAAGGGTGATGCAGTGGACATGGTGTACTTGGACTTTCAGAAAGCCTTTGACAAGGTCCTGCACCAAGAGTTCTTAAGTGACATGGGATAAGAGGTAAGTTCTTTGAGTGCTGGTCCCACACAGGGGTATGCATGCATGCCATGCACCTGAGTCCAGGAATTCTTTCAAGCAGTGTCCGTTGGCCCACACACACATCTCTTCGTGCTTCTGCCAAGATATGAGGCACCGTGCAGATGGATACCTCTCCAGGTCTTTCTTATGGCTGCATGATCTGAGTTGGAATCGTCTGTCCTCTCCTCCCTCAACTATTTATAGCACCTGTAAAGACAATTGTAAATAGTTTTTATTCTTCCTAGCTTACTGGTTAGTTAAAGTTCATAGTATAGTTAGTATAGTGCGTTTTTTCCTTGGTTGGGGATTCCCTCCTTGAGTCTGGGATTATGTCTAGAGACCCAGGTTTCAAGAATTGCATCTCTTGCTCTCGCACCTTCTCTGTCAGCGATGAACATCAGCACTGCTTCTATTGTCTGGGCGAGACACTATCTCTGTGAAGTGCAGTATTTGTCGCTGGTTCCCACCCAGAACTCTGGCAGCTCACGAGCTCTGCCTACAAGAAATATCTGATGGAGAAGGCTATGAGGCCCCTTTCCAATCTGTTCCAGGGAGACCCCCTTGTACATTGACCCCTCCAAGCACATGCTTGGTAGCAGAGCTTTCAGTACCTAAGCCCAAAGATTCTTCCTCAAGGGCTTCCCATGAGAGCAGAGGGCACTCATTGGGGGTAAGGGCAGATCCCTATCAAGGATGGTCCATAAGAGATGCATTCCCTCCCTGAGCCTGTCGAAATCGGGTGAGACTTCGTGTGTGGAATCTAAAGAACTGGATCCACTGAAAACCCCCAGAGCATGTAAAAAGAAAGATCTGCTGATTCTGATGATCACCCCAGTATCAAAGCATAAGGAATGACATGCGCCGGTTCTGTCTATGAGCTGTGTTAGTGCTATGGAGCGGTGCTGGTGCTGCAGAGTTGTTAATGCTGCTAGTGCCGCTATTCTTGGGGCTCTGGTGTTTGCTGCATTAGGAGAAATGCAGCATGTGGATTCAGCAGGCCTTGATGTTTTCATAAAGAGCGACCACAGGCTTGGTTCGGTGTCAAAGGTGCTCATCTGGGTTCATTGTCAGCAAAACACAGTACTAACACCCTGACCAACAGGTCACAGGGACACTGACAAATGTATGCCCGTGACAAGCTCAGGCTCAGTTAGCATAACAGGATGCTGTCCCCTCGGCCAATACAAAGATGCCCCTCCTATGACTTCTTCTTTTATACATTGATACAAACAAGTTCTGTATCACACTCCAGATGTTATTAGTTGCTACCCTTATTCTTGTAGCTGCTAGTTTGAACAAAACATCCTCTTCCATTATCCTGTCATCCCATCCTTATCATATGAGGAGTCGGTGTGTTCCTGTACCATCTCTTGGGAATGTGTTTACACAGTTACTTGAGAACTCCGGATGTTCTTGTACCATCCTCTCAGGAATGTGCTTGCTTGGTTTTAGCAGAATTGCAACACAGTAGGTATTAGCTAAGGCCAAGCTTACTCTGTTTCACAGCCTTTGGGCCATACTATTAGTTGCGCTTATGGCTCCAGCAAGGCCTACACTTATCGTTGATATCATCTAATTTGTCCGAGGACCACCGGGCTTCCAGGGATGCACTAGTTCCATCAGACTTGACTGCTGGAACTCCGCTGACACTGGGGCATATGGAGACTTACACAACACTGGAGGATATAGTCCTACCTCATCCTCAGTCTCCCTGCTTCTCCAGCCTACCCCTCTTGAGGGATATTACTACACTAGAGAAGGATGCTACTATGGTGTCTCAGGAGCCATCCCACTTACAGCCCTTCGGCAGGAGTGCTGCAGTACAGATGACCTCGCCACTACTGGAGAAGCAATTTTCAGACTCAGATGCGTTGGAGGTGCTAGCCGCTCCAATATCTCCAGGGAGACCGTTGAGTCCTGACAGACATTCAAGGAGTCACGCTCAGTATCCCTCCAGATATGGCTTGCCAAGGAACTGCTGGTACTGATTTCCTTTGGGTACCCTACAGCTCACTGACCCCTCCTTCTGGCTTCATTGGGGTCCATGGGCAGGCATCCAGGCCCTTCTTAGGGATCCATCAGTGTATATGGAGGAAGACATTGATCAGGACCTGCAGGTTCTGATAGTTGTCTCTTCTTCATCCTTGGATAAAGCTGTCACTCTGTCCTCTCCATCTCTGCCGGACAACCATAGGCAGTACCAGGAACACTGGCTCCTGGATCGCCTGCAACCAGAGGGACCGAGTAAGGAGGCCATCCTAGAACCATCCAGAGCTATATGGCATCTTATGCCCCCACACCGAAGAGAGCCGACAGAAGATATTTCATCCCCACCAAAGGAGCTGAATTTGTTCTCCCACCTCAGCCCCAACTCACTGGTGGTATAGGCAGCTAAGGAAAGGGCCAGGTCGCACTATCAAAGGGACACAGACTGACAAGGGTTCAAAGAGCCTGGACCTCCTGTGGAGAAAGGTCATCCTCTCTGCAGGCCTGCAGTTTTGTATTGCTAACTACTAGGTTCTGATAACGAAATATGATTTTAATAACTATTCATAGAATCGTAGAATATCAGGGTTGGAAGGGACCTCAAGAGGTCATCTAGTCCAACCCCCTGCTCAAGGCAGGACCAATTCCCAACTAAACCATCCCAGCCAGGGCTTTGTCAAGCCTGACCTTAAAAACATCTAAGGAAGGAGATTCCACCACCTCCCTAGGTAACCCATTCCAGTGCTTCACCACCCTCCTAGTGGAAAAGTTTTTCCTAATATCCAACCTAAACCTCCCCCACTGCAACTTGAGACCATTTCTCCTTGTTCTGTCATCTGCCACCACTGAGAACAGCCTAGCTCCATCCTCTTTGGAACCCCCCTTCAGGTAGTTGAAGGCTGCTATCAAATCTCACCTCATTCTTCTCTTCTGCAGACTAAACAATCCCAGTTCCCTCAACCTCTCCTCATAAGTCATGTACTCCAGCCCCCTAATCATTTTTGTTGCCCTCCGCTGGACTCTTTCCAATTTTTCCACATCCTTCTTCTACAGTGGGGCCCAAAACTGGACACAGTACTCCAGATGAGGCTTCACCAAAGTCGAATAGAGAGGAATGATCACGTCCCTCGATCTGCTGGCAATGCCCCTACTTATACAGCCCAAAATGCCATTAACCTTCTTGGCAACAAGGGCACTCTTTCGATGCATATCCAGCTTCTCGTCCACTGTAACCCCTAGGTCCTTTTCTG